CGTAAGCAAAGCAGAAGGTCCCACGTCCTCATACCTCGATGTTAGATCTAATTATGGCTCTCAATGCCACAATCTTGAAACCAACCGTTAGAATTGGATCATCCCCATTGTTCTACCTGAATGCAGATCATAAACATTGAGCATGAAAAATGGAGCAAACAAATTGAATCCATGGTACAAATCCATCACTAAATTCAAATACATTACAAAATTCGAACATAAAGTAGAGAACAATAGATTTTTAGAGTATAGAGTGGACGGAGAAACACAATGTTAGCTATATTTTGATCTAAATTCATAACTAAGTTCTGATTTTGTTTTCTATATATAACCATGGTAGCCAAAATTTGCTATTTGTATCCATGTAATTGTGACTCAGAAAGAAAACAATATGAACAACTTTTGGTACAATTAAACCATACTTTGTCAATTGTCGTAGCCAGGGATGATCATCTCATCATGGTCTTTTATACTTGTATTAATATACTAATCAAGACAATGATGTCACAAAATTAGCAACTATACTAAAAAGAAACATAATCACTACATAATTAAACTTAAACATTGCCCAAAAAATTGCCTAATGAATGGTGCCAATTATAGTTTTAGTTGTTTTTATATCAATTCCATTTATTAACTTCTGGTGTATGTTACTGTTTGCAATGAGCAACATTGGTTGCTTTCTTTAGATTGTTTGAAAGTGATTATCATGTTACARGAGAAATGTGTCTGGATTTCAGCTCCAAAAYACCAGTTAAGTCACTGACCGCATAGCAAATTGTTCGCATCCATCAGTTGTTTCGAGAAGCCAAGTTTGATGATCYAGTGGTGATGTAAGATGCTCTTGTTGTTTAATTGACTGTTGTTTACAATAGAAATTTATAGTTGGTTTACTATTTTTTATTTTCTGAATAAATTTTGGTTGATGAAAGGTCATATATAACACGGCTCCTTTGTAGTGTCTTTGTTCGATAGGAGAGTACAACCTCTGCATAGGTATAATAAAAGAACTCAACCCAGACATGGTTGCAACTTATACTGCAAGGTAATATTTATACTTGGAATATTTGGTTCTTCAATTAACCTATTATGCATAAAATGTCCGAAACTAGTACGGAATTTAACGCATTCAGAACTACTGTCAAAATTCAGTGCTCAAGTATTTGAAGGATGCCCCTTCACTCTAAAGAGCATAAACAACCATATTATTAGAGGGTAAGTGTTAATGCCTGTGAATAGATAAATGTTCACAGCTGAGATCCATAGATCAAACTTGTTATGGAATCAAGCAATAAGCTCTTCATTTATATAATCATCAAATCTGCATATGGAAACATGATCAGAATCAAAAATCAACAAGCTTTTCTTTCATAATCATCAAATATACATTTGAAGCAAGTTCACGATAAGAAAGTCGGGATAGTTCACAATGAAGGATACCAATTTTTTACATTTTAAAATGATTAAGAAATCTAGAAGCTTTAAACATGACAAGAGAAGGTAGCTAGGTAGCTAAGTTGCATTAGACAAGTCCAAGTCGCTCAAAGAACAAGAAATCTTGATTTGTCCAAATTTTGTGACTATCATTAAAAAGTAGTTCCAAATTTCCACCGAATTGGTCAACCTAACACTAGTTTACTTCCATATCTACAGCCCAAAGTTTCTGTTTTTCATGTCATTGTTAAAGAGAAGAGATATATAGTCATTTAACCATATATATAACATGAATCTCACATGATGAATTAAAGGGATCATGTTGAATCTTATCATGTCCATGTAAGCAATGATTCACTATTATGGAGACATTCTAGTAGCTTTAGCCATTTAAGAACAAAAGTAGCTTTACCCATTCTCCAATTTCTACATCCATTTAACCATAAGACATTCTAGTAGCTTTAGCCATTTAATCCTATTTATACAAACGGAAAAAGGAGATCCAAAATTTACCAAATGGTTACTTGTAAAACTGAAATCGAACCGCAGATCATCAAATTTCTTCCCTGAATTAAAAAGACGTTGAAAATTGGAGTTTATAAGTCACATAATCAGAAGATTAGAAAAAAAAGCATGTAATTAGAATATGAATAACTGCATTAAGCTTTTGTTATATGGCTAAATCTTAAATTAACAACTGCATTACCCAGAAACTGATTCATCTATGCTTTAAGAACATTACTGCAGAATCTGACAGGTATCATCCCTTAAAGAGGAAGCATACCTTGATAATCCATAAATGCATTGCAAAATAGCAACTAACATTTAACTTAGAAAGGACCGTTTCAAGACGGATCCTGCAAAAACCAATWAAATGTGTTGAAAATCATGAACATGAAAAAGCACTATGAACATGAAAGTTTTTGTTGGATCCAACAAAAAGGCAGAGTCCTGACCATAGCAGTTACCAAACTTCTCCTTTGGAGCRGTGAACACATTAACATGCATTTAAAGAACTGGCATTGAAACAAAAACWATTTCAAACACTATTTACCTGCAATCTTTAAGATGGAGAATGACCTCGACTAATGCTGAGCAACATTAAGTACGTATCAACCTGCATTCTACACAATGTAGCACTCATTTCATATCTTATACATTACATAACGAGAAGTAATTACAAAAAAAGGTATTTTAAAAGCTAATGCTAGCTAGTTATCTGCAGGGCCGGTCCTGAGATTTTGGATGCACATGGCGGAAGCCAAAAAAATGCCCCTTACATGTGTATATAAAAACCAAAATAAACTATTTGAAGGGGTTTGAAACCTAGTCAATCTAGGAGGCTCATCTCCACGCCGATTTGTTTTAAATATAACAAAAATTATGCAAGGGGGGGGGGGGAATAAGCCAAAACCCCGTGTAACAAAATATAAAATACATCACCATTCACCTAAAATGATGCCTTCATGATATTAGTTTCCCTAATAGACCCTTTTTCAAACAATGAGACAACAGTTATAAATATGAAGTGTCTACCTATACATCAATCTTAAGCCTTTGTCCTATACTAATCCGCTTCAAAACAGCTCGTAAAACGCTTCTAAACAACCCTAAAAAGTAAAAAATTAGGGAACCCAACAACTCCGACGAAAACTCTCCGACAATGAAATGGTCACAAACTCCTAATTTTTCCCTCAAACAACATTGGTGCATGATTGTGTGCAAATCTCTATTGTGCCTTCCAAGCCACAGGTGAAATACTTGGAGTAGGATCGTCTATGATGAACCATCACTCGAAACCCCATGGTTTCTCATCACCTTCCTACACTCCATTCGGCGGACAGAACGACTTTCCCCAATCCTCAGTCACTAGTCTATACTAAACTCAAAGGGTGAGCCCATTCCATCACACCCTTCCACTAGATAGCAATCATTCAAACGGGTGAATCGACCCCTTGCCTATACCAAACCCAAGCCTATACCATCCCCATCCTACTTACCCTACCACTAAACCGCCACTGGCTAAATCCTCAAAAAACTTGAGAGTAACCCTCAAAAGGCAGAAAACCATTGTCAGGAAGCCCACAAAATCACCCAAGATTGCAAGTTGTCATCAATCCCACAAAGGCAACTACCTAACAGTCCAAGAAGATTCACTCGATAGGATGCCTGACAGTGAATTGGAAAACATTTTAGGCACAACACAAGAAGGTGCAAAATGGACTTTCAAGGGAAATACCATAATTCTAAAATCCCAATACCTAAAACCTGAAGCAATATTTGGTTCTTCTTTGTTAGACACACCTTGCACCCAAAACAGCCACTTCATTTCATGGATGAAGCAGTAGTAGTAGCAGAAGTGAGTTATCAGACTCATTTCATTTCATGGATTTTACTTAGAAATTGCAAAACAGAACAACCCCAAAAACAGAAAACCTAAGTAGGCATACATGATACATACAGTATTACATCTTTAAAACTTAAAAGAAAACCTAAGTAGGGAGGGCAGCTTCATCTAGATTATGAAATAATCAAACAAGAATTAAGAACTTAAAACAAGTAAAGTAAGTACCCCTAACCTCACAAGTCATCAAATTTTGAGATGAGAGCGATCGAAAGTCCAGAGTCGAAGAACGAGAGCGAGAGTCCAGAGTCGGAGAACGAGAGCGAGAGGCGAGAGTCCAGAGTCGGAGAACGAGATCGAGAGGCGAGAGGCGAGAGTCGCGAGTGAGCGAGGAGTCGAGGACGAGAAAGAGCGTATGAAGGAGGGGTCGATCTGGAGGTATCTGAACCCTAATTCGAAAAGAAATCGTGGAAATCGCAAAACTCTACATTGATTTCTAATAATGATTTATTACATATTTTTGAATTTTGATTTATTTAAAAAAACCTTTTAGAGACGCTTTAAAATCTATAAAAGCGCATCCGAAATTTTTTATTAATTTAAAAATAAAAGTAAACAACATTTTTATTTTTTAGAGACATTTTGAAGAGCGTTTCTAAAAATTCTGCTTGACTTTTAAAGACGATTTTCTGAGAAAATGTCTCTAAAAACTTTAGAGACAGTTTTTGTTGCGAATAATTTGATTTCAAATCCTTATCTGAAAATCATCTTATATTCAGTTACACTTCTCACATCTGTCGTATAATTCCTTCTCTAAAAATCACCTTTAGTTACGCTTCTGAATTTTTCTCTAAAAACCCCATCTCTTGTAGTGTATATCACGATTTTAACAACATAAAATAACCACACAAACTCATGATTTAAAGCCAAACTAATGTTTCCGGATTGCGATTTACCCGCGCTGCATTGCGCGGGTACACCACTAGTATATATATATATATATATATATATATAGATAGATATAAGATAATTGAATAATTAGAAGTATATATATATATATATATATATATATATATAGGGGCTTAATCAAATGAGAACTGATTTGTTTGTGGTAACTGTGAGAACCAATCTCAACCATATATTATAAAAATCAATGGATATAATTAAAAAGAATATTAATTAATATATTTCTATAAATAAATTAATATTATTTAATGAAATTATATGAATAAGGGTAAGATCGTCATTTTACAATTAAATTTATTGAGTCGGATACAAAACGCGCGCTCAAATCCGTTAAGATTCTTGTTCTATTCGAATCCTAATATGGTAAAGATACTTTCTTCTATTTGAACGGAGAGGTTATCTTAAGCCCTA